GCCTTCAAAAATTATTTTCTTCTTGGTATTTTTATTACGAGGTGGGGCGAGGAATCCATTCCCCAACGAAAGTGGGAATGATGAATTCTTGATTTTAATATTGCGGATATGAAGGAGGAAATGGAAAAAAAAAATTTAGGGGGATGGAGATGGGAACGTCATATGACATATTTGCACTATCTATTTTAGAGAATGGGTCATATTAGGAAGACCATCTTTAAAGTCCAACTTGTATACCATCTTTCTAATAGAGGTGGAGCCCATGGTACACAAGTTGGTCTCCCTAACATTTTCCTTAGACCCCGTTTGGTTCACGGAACGAATTTGAGGGGAAATCATTTCCCATGTCATTTCTCAAGAGATGGGAAATGGAAGATTCATTTCCCACATTTGGTAATGCTAGGAGAGTAACCGGGAAATATAACTTTATCTCCTTTCCCATGTTTGTTTTGAGTAGGAATGGAAAACAAAGTTTGTATAAATTTTCAATTATATCCATATTAAATCAAATAAAAAAAGAATGCATTTAATGATATATTGTAATTCTAAATTGTTAATAGGGACAAAATGGTCATGAAAAATGATTTTCCTTAGACCCCGTTTGGTTCACGGAACGAATTTGAGGGGAAATCATTTCCCATGTCATTTCTCAAGAGATGGGAAATTGAAGATTCATTTCCCACGTTTGGTAATGCTAGGAGAGTAACCGGGAGATATAACTTTATTTCCTTTCCCATGTTTGTTTTGAGTAGGAATGGAAAACAAAGTTTGTATAAATTTTCAATTATATCCATATTAAATCAAATAAAAAAAGAATGCATTTAATGATATATTGTAATTCTAAATTGTTAATAGGGACAAAATGGTCATGAAAAATGTTTATTTAATATTGGCTCATTTTCCCAAACTTTCCTATGAGAAGGGAAAACAAAACCCAAGTTGGGAGGATGGCTTCACTCTCCCCCTTACTTTCCCATTGGCCAGACAACGATTTCCCATGCCTGGACTTACCAAACATGGGAAAACAATTGATTTCCCATCCCCAAGTCTCCTTTTCCATGAACCAAACGAGGCCTTAGAGAACAGATTTGTTTTGGGCTATTTTACTAAGAACTCCGAAAACATATATATTTTTTTATAAGATTAGCATCTACGACAGCATGGATTAAAAGCATGTAAACTCTTGTGATCTCCAGGATAAGTGAAAAACGCAAAACAACACAAAAAGAAAAGAAATTTAATACGGATAACTGCATGCAGGCACGAGATTGTGGGTGAAGTGACAGAAGTGGGAAGCAAGGTGAAGAAAGTAAAAGTGGGAGAAAAAGTGGGCGTAGGTGCGATGGTTGGTGCTTGCGATTCATGTGAGAATTGCAACAACCACCTTGAAAATTACTGCCCCAAAATGATATTTACCTACGGCGCCATTTACCACGACGGAACAGTAACTTATGGAGGCTACTCAGACACCATGGTTGCCAGTGAGCGTTACATTGTACGTTTCCCTGAGAACATGCCACTGGATGCTGGGGCACCTCTGCTTTGTGCTGGGATCACAGTCTATAGCCCCTTGAAATATTTTGGGTTAGGAGAACCTGGGAAGCATGTTGGCATTGTAGGCCTTGGCGGGCTTGGTCATGTTGGAGTGAAATTTGCCAAGGCACTTGGGGCAAAGGTGACTGTTATTAGTACCTCCCCTAGCAAGAAAGATGAAGCTTTGAACCATTTGGGTGCTGATGCGTTTTTAGTTAGCCGTGACCAGGATCAAATTCAGGTTAACAATCATTTTTCTAGCCTATTTGTAATATATATGTTTTGGTATTGTTTAGGATCTTTAATTAATTGTAATTGTTCGGTACATATATATATATTTTGGGTTTCAATTGCAGGCTGCCATGGGCACATTTGATGGCATCATTGACACAGTTTCTGCTGTGCATCCCATTGTTCCCCTGATTGGCCTTTTGAAGTCACATGGGAAGCTTATTCTGGTGGGTGCACCGGAAAAGCCACCAGAGTTGCCTGTGTTTCCATTAATCTCGGGTAAGCATAAAACCCCAGGATATGTAATTTGACGTGTAGGATAATGTTTTCTTGTTGAATTGTAAATTTGGGCGACATGTTTCAACAAAAATCAACATGATCAATATAAGCACATGATATTCCACATAATCTGTAAAGACAATTTTTCTTATTAATTTCTTATTAAAACTATTACCAACATGTGAGTGCAGGAAGGAAGATAGTGGCGGGTAGTGGATTTGGAGGGACAAAGGAAACTCAGGAGATGATTGATTTCGCAGCAAAACACAACATAACAGCAGAAATTGAGCTTATCTCAATGGATTATATGAATACAGCGTTGGATCGTCTCTATTATTTAACAGAAAATCTTTCTTTTTATTTTATTTTACACATGGCACCTACGTGGCATTCAATTCAACAAATTTGTGGGTCCCATTTGTGCCACATCAGCATTTTTAACAGAGTTTTTGACTGACTTGACGGTGGGGGGTTGAGTGGAACACAAAACCACGATCAAGGGGGTTAAGTGGGCCATTTTAACTTTGGGGGGGTTAAGTGAGATTTGACCGAAGTTTCAGGGGGTGCTACAGTAAATAAGCCTAGAATATATATATCTTTCATTTTTCCCAAGCGTACATCTGCCGAAATTCAGCAGCACCAATATAGTCAATCAAGATAAGCTAACCCGGTTCTGATCATCTCTGGACGGAGAACGAGCACCAAATCCTGGATATGTAGGCATCCACTATTTGAGGTGCTTTCGGCTGTGATATGGTTATGATGGAGTCTTTAGTTCAAGTCCATTGCACCAGCAGTCAGAGGATGAAGGCTGCTCTCCAACCCCTTTCAGATACTATTATATCTCGTATGCATTTTGTTAGTCAAGACATAAACAAGACATAGACAACTTCCCTAAAACAAGGAAAAGCTTGTCTATCACACTTACACATTTCCATGTTTATAGAAACAATTTTCCATGTTTACATTTCCATGTTTTAGGGAAACACAAATCCTGGAAATAATCCATACTTTGTGATCTTGTTTGTAACTAATAGTTAGCTAGCTACATTTGTATATATCTCCTCAAGATAGTAATACAAGCAGCTGAATTGCATTCTCTGCAAAACCTCTAATATTTCACATTCTCTACTCTCTCAATTACACTATCTTTGGCATGGTATCAGAGCAATCGATTTTGGTTGCCTCTTCATAACCTTGTTCTTGCCTAAACTCTACCTATCCTTGCCCATAATTTGCTGTTATATTATTCTTATCTCATACTTTGCCTTGCCTCAAAATTGATCTTGATCACAAGTCTTATTTGTGCTCTTGATTGCTGAAGTTCTAAGCTATTTCTTTCTCTACATCTCTTAATCTATTTACCTCATGGGTGACACCAACAACTCAATCAACTCCACGGCCGACACCTCTAAGATCGACTCCACAACTCCATCACTCCGGTCCTATCATGACTACTCTCAAATTACTCATGAGAAGTTGGCTAGGGATGCTCTCAAGTCTCGCAACAAAACACCCAAGGCAGTGTGTGTTATAACTACCGATGCTTCTCCATCTTCCACCCTCCTCTCCGACGCCGAATCAGGTACACGACCCACTACATGGATAATTGACACAGGTTCCACTGATCATATGACTTTTGACTCTACTATGTTTTCCACATTATCTTTTAAGTCTCGTCATCCTTACATCACTAGTGTCAATGGAGTTCCTTCTAATGTTGCTGGAGAAGGAACTATATCACTTTCCCCTTCCTTATCTTTATCTCATACACTACTTATTCCCTCAATAAATTGCAATTTGCTGTCTGTTGGAAAATTGCTTGACTCACATAATTGTTATGCCACATTCTATCCTTCCCATTGTATTTTTCAGGACCTCACAACTCACGTGACGATTGGGCATGGTAAACGAAGAGGGGGGGTTGTAATCCTTGACGGTCTCTTCACCACCAAGGGTAGCTCATACTCATGGTTCCAGCTCACAAGCTCGCAATCAACATCAGATTTGGCTCTGGCATCATCGCCTAGAACATCCATCCTTTGGCTATCTTCAACGTTTGTTTCCGTATTTGTTCCATGGCTTAGATAATCATCAGTTTCAGTGTGAAACCTATGTATTGGCCAAAAGTCATCGGACTGTTTTTCCCTTAAGTGATAATAAAACGGAATTTCCTTTTGATTTGGTTCACTCTGATGTTTGGGGTCCTGCTAAAGTTTCTTCCAATGGCAAAAGATGGTTTGTCACATTTATTGATGACTGCACTCGCATGACTTGGGTATACTTACTAGCTCATAAAAGTGATGTTTCCGCTACAATCTGTGAATTTCATGCTATGATTACCACACAGTTCCAAGCCTCCATCAAAGTATTCCGGTCTGATAATGGTGGGGAATATGTGAACAATGTCTTGGCACAATTCTTCCGAGACCATGACATCATTCATCAAACCTCTACATCTTTTACTCCACAACAAAATGGTGTTGCAGAGCAAAAGAATCGACAATTACTTGAGGTTGTTTGTGCATACATGCTGGATAAATCGGTCCCTCACTACTTATGGGGACATGCCCTTCTTTCTGCAGTCTATGTGATTAATCGAGTGCCTAGCAGTGTTTTGAAGTTTCAAACTCCACTGAACACCTTGGCTCGTCACGTCTCTCTTCCTACAGTCCTCAAGCTGCCTCCTCGCATATTTGGTTGTGTTGTATATGCTCATGTTCCATCTCATCAAAGAAGTAAACTGGACCCTTGTGCCATTCGTTGTGTCTTCGTTGGGTATGGATCAAATAAAAAAGGATACAAGTGTTACCATCCTCCTACTCGCAAGCTCTTTGTCACTATGGATGCCACATTCCATGAAGATTTATCATACTTTAAAGCTTCTACGCCCCCTTCTCTTCAGGAGGAGAGGAGGAATTAAGAGAAGGAAGAAAAAATTCAAGAAGAAATTCAAGTATGTCCAAATACGACCGATCGCAGGCCAGAAGCGACCGGTCGCACAGACCCTAGCCACTGGTCGCCTTGCTCTAGAGATACTGAAAATCGAATCTGTCCAAATATGACCGGTCGCAGGCCAGAAGCGACCGGTTGCATTCCAGAAACGACCGGTCGCACGGACCCCAGCCACCGGTTGCATGGCTCCAGCGATGAAATACCAATCTGTCCAAATGCGACCGGTCATGCAGAACCCAGCGACCGATCGCCGATCCCCTGTGAACTTGAAGATGGTTATTTGGACAGCGATGAAGGTACTGAAAAATTGTTGCTCTTATTTGGTGAAGATCCCGGAGAAGACAATCCAAATGTTTGCTGTGATCAACTAAAAAATACAACCCCTCCTTCTCAACCATCAGACCAATCGTCTTGTGATGAAGAAACACTCGAGGTAATTCCCGAACCACCTAATGCTATACCATACACTCTCCCACCTAGGACTACTAGAGGAAAACCTAAACCTCAATATTGTCCTGACCTTACTGCCAAATCAAAATATCCCATTAATAACCATGTTTCAACTCATAGATTGTCAAAGTCATATGCATCATTTGTCAATCAATTATCTACTATATGTGTTCCAAATAAGTGGCAGGATGCTATAACAGATTCCAGATGGGCTGAAGCAATGACAATTGAAATGGAAACTCTGGAAAAGAATTCTACATGGGAAATGGTTCAGTTACCACAAGGGAAGAAACCAGTTGGATGTCGGTGGATATACACTGTTAAATACAAAGCTGATGGATCCATAGACAGATACAAAGCTCGATTAGTGGCAAAAGGGTATACACAAACATATGGAATTGACTACCAGGAGACATTTGCACTTGTTGCCAAGATCAACACTATACGTGTTATCATGTCATTGGCTGCAAATCTTGACTGGCTACTACTGCAGTATGATGTAAAGAATGCATTTCTTCATGGGGACTTGCAAGAAGAAGTGTAGATGGAACCACCACCAGGGATCTCTATGACACTCGATCCCAACACCGTTTGCAAGCTGAGAAAATCATTATATGGGCTAAAGCAGTCACCACGAGCCTGATTTGGAAGATTCACCGATTCCATGAAGCGCTTTGGGTACAAACAGAGCAACTCGGATCACACTTTATTCTTAAAGCGTCGTGGTGACAAACTGACGGCCCTTATCATCTATGTTGATGATATGGTGGTTACCGGTAATGACAATGAAGAAATGAAGAATCTGCATAAGCTCCTTGCTAGTGAATTTGAGATGAAGGAATGAGGTGAGTTACAATATTTTCTTGGCATAGAAGTTGCTAGATCAAAACATGGCATATTTCTATCCCAACGAAAACATGTGTTAGATTTGTTAACAGAAACTGGAATGCTTGATTGCCAGCCAGCTGACACACCTATTGAGCAGAACCACAAGTTAGGAATGTATCCAGATCAAGTACCCACTGACAAAGAAAGGTATCAAAGATTGGTTGGGCGACTGATCTATCTATCACACACACGCCCCGACATAGCTTATGCTGTGAGTATGGTGAGTCAGTTTATGCATCAACCAAGTAAGGCACACATGAATGCAGTAACTCGGAGATATTTTACATTTGTGGGGGGCAACTTAGTCACTTGGAGAAGTAAGAAGCAAAGAGTTGTGGCTAGATCAAGTGCTGAAGCAGAATTTAAGGGAATGGCTCAAGGACTGAGTGAATTGCTCTGGTTACGGAGATTACTGAAGGATCTTGGAGTTAAACCATTAAAGGCTACAAACTTGTACTATGACAATAAAGCTGCTATCGAGATAGCACATAACCCAGTACAACACGACCGTACCAAACATGTGGAAGTCGACCGACACTTCATCAAAGAGAAACTAGAAAGTGGTATAATTAAGTTTCCGTTTGTAAACTCGGAAAACCAATTTGCCGACATTCTAACAAAGGCCGTATCAAGTAAAGTTTTCTATGACTCACTTGACAAGTTGGGCATGCGTGATATCTTTGCACCAATCGTATGCATTTTGTTAGTCAAGACATAAACAAGACATAGACAACTTCCCTAAAACAAGGAAAAGCTTGTCTATCACACTTCCACATTTCCATGTTTATAGAAACACTTTTCCATGTTTTAGGGAAACACAAATCCTGGAAATAATCCATGCTTTGTGATCTTGTTTGTATCTAATAGTTAGCTAGCTACATTTGTATATATCTCCTCAAGATAGTAATATAAGCAGCTGAATTGCATTCTCTGCAAAACCTCTAA